AATCACATTTTTATTTTTTCATTATTACTAATTTATAATTATGAACGCAAACTTAAAATTAATATAAAGTACTTGAATGCATTTGTACATAGAATTGACATTTTCTCTTTCTACGATATACATTTTAACATTGACTTGGTTGGTTTGTCCTCTTTTCACGTCGAAACAGAGTGACGGATTGGCGTGATTTGTTGTGTTAGTTGGAGGGCTGAAGAATGGCATAGGCTGCCGCGGGAGATTATCTCATCCCAATAGAAAAACATATTATAATACAACAAGAACTTATCGTACCTATATAATATTATATTTTATCTATTCTATACTAACCGTTAAAACGTACCTAGGGATGAACCCGAGAAAAGCGCGAATGAGTCGCTAATATCTAGATACATATTGCTTAGAAGCCACCATGGTATGATGAGAATTAATGATTTATCACATGGTAATCAAGTTTACATATAATAAAATTGTAACTAAGCCGAATATGTACATTAAGTATTTTTTGGAAAATCTTATTGAAATAGACATTATTATCGATACAGAGGCCGGATCTATAGTTTTTAGAATTTTTGTCTGTCTGTCTGTTATCGCATCACAGAAAAACCAGTGGAGGGATTTTGATGAAATTTGGTATGGTGATAGCTGGTTATCCGGGTCAACATATAGAATACTTTTTACCGCTGGAAAATATTTTATTTCTGAGAAAAAATACAAAAACTGCAATGTAAGAGTATACTGATATGTAAAACCTAAGAATTTGGTTATTGGTCTTCTGAACGCGGGCGAAGCCGCGGGCAATGCTGGTATAATATATAAGGGTGCTATATACACTTTGATTGTTTATATTCTAATTTGTTCAAGCCTTCTCTACTTATATCAAATACGTCTTCATTCCGAATTTCTCTTAAATATATTAACTCAGAACCAGCGAAGCTTTTATAAGTCACAGTATAGTCACTCAATATTTCACATAATTTAATTTATACATTTTTTCATACAATTCTTTCTCATTTATAAGCTCTGCTACGCAATACTACAACTACGCACGTATTGCTACATATATTTTTTTTTTGTTTGGACATTAACACACAGCACCATCTAGTTCCATGGTAAGCTACGAGGCTTGTGTTATGGATACTAGATAGTTGATATACTACATATATATAACTTTAAATACATACATATTATAAGTATAAACACCCATGACTGGAGTACAAACATTCGTGCTCATCACACAAATGAATGCCCCCAGCGGGATTCGAACCCGCAACCGCTGGCACAGCAAGTAGGGTTACTACACACTGAGCCAAACGTGTCGTCAAATATATGCACGTATTGTGTATTTATGGTATACCTAAGAGTGATAATACGCAAAACAACAGGTATTGTTTTAACCACAGTAATCGTTTTCAATCACGGAGTATAATCACAGCTCCTGGGAATGCTCGTCTGGTATATATATTAATCCCTCAACGACCGCGGACACGCCGGCGTTACAGTTAACAATAGATTTCTTAGAAATTTAATTAATTTCTAAGAAATTTACCTGAAAGTGTTAAACTGTACCCATACAAACTAAACCATTTCACTAAATGAACATGACAGTCTCTTCGATAATCTCTGGAATTACCAGTCATTCTCGTCCATTTGATAGACTTTAAGATCAAAACAGTTATACGAAAATATACTATAAAAATTAGTATTTATATTAAAGTATATACTTCATACACAGCTATATTATACCTAAAATGGCGCAGTAAACATAAGAATCAAGGATATTGCCTTATCTTTATGCAATAGTTGACGGAAGCAAACACATCGAAGAATGGTCGAGATTAAATGGATTTTTTAAATGATGACTGCGTCATTATTTTAAGAATTTGTTTGATGTATCTACTTCTACGTTATATTTTATGTTAAAAACTGTTATAAAAAATATTCTAGATATTACGATTTTTGTATTTTATTTCGTTCATCGGGAATTAAATTTTAAAATATAACTGTGAAAAAATTTAACAAAATTGTTATATTGAAAGTATATAATAATAGTCTATTCGTCTATTCAGAGATAAAAGTTTTAATAGATTCATTACACATCAAATAAATCATACAAACATCAAACTCGACAATTTTTAGTAGAAATATTTTTTACTAATCTCGACGGTGTTGTTGTTCGTCGTTTAATCCTCGCTGTTTATACTTATATTATAAATGTGAATGTAACTCTCTCTGTTATATCTTTACGCTTAAACCGCTGAACGGATTTCGACAAAATTTAGCAAGAATATAGATTGCTCCTCCTCCATCCTGGGATAGGATATAAAATTCTCTTGAACCCCGTTCCGCTTATCACACACAAGATAATTTAATTTAATTTTGTAAATAGTAAGTACTAAGATATCTGTATTCAGTACCTTCGGGACGAGTAGTACTAGTTACACATGTGTACATATTTATCATAACGAATCTATTTTCTTACTGAAATCTTACTCACGATACCATCGTCCTTTGCAAAATAAGGCCTTTCTTTAGACATTACGTAGCAGCCTTATGGTGTTCTTTACTATATTAACATACAGAGATAAAATGTTAAACGAAGCTGCATAAAAATAAAACGATACAAAACGATACGAAATAAAATGGAAATTAGCTTTATTCTATTAGACTTTAACAAGGGCTTTTGGAACCAATCCTTTAATATGTATATTAAAAAACAAACGTTTACTTTTTAATTATAATAGACACTGACCGGAAACAGTTGCAAGAGTGTTATCTTTTTTGCCTCGCTGAATAGCAATGCTGATTCTTCCGGCGTATCAGTACGACGTACAAACAATAGGCCAACTATTTCAAAGTGCAAATACTAAGAGCACAATATCCATATACTTTAATATTATTAATGTGTAAGTATGTTTGTTTGTTTGATTTGATTGATGGATTGGCGTGATTTGTTTGGAGATAGTTGGAGAGCTGTAAAGTGAGATGGGTTACTTTTTACTGCGGGAAATTATCTCATTCCCACGGGAAAATACGTTGTACCTTTTACACCCCAAAAAATTATTTATGATCAGAATTACTTGAAACTTGGTATTAAATGCTCTTCAATACAATTAAATAAATACATGTTTTAGCAAGTTTCGAAATTCATTCCAGAGGGGGCTTAAATATACTTATTTAATTAGATAAAGTTTAAGTAGATAATAATTGTATAAAAATATTGTAAAAATATTATTTTAAAAGGGCAATTGTTGAGTTTTTCGCCGGCTATCCTCAACAGTTATGTGTTCCAAGCCGATGAAGATTCCTCACGGACTTACTTACTGACATCTAATTTAAATGTTAACAATGTAAAAAATGACAATTCAAATGTGTTTGTAAAAGATTAGATATGAGGCGGTGCCAGTGTGTTATCGCATGTAACATACTTCCAACACAGGAAAAACCCGTTTTCATTTATAGCGAACCAGCATTAAATTAATTATTAAATGTCTACTTACTCTAGATGGCTCATTAAAAGGAGAAAACCTTAGCGAAAAAACGCAAACGTGCTACCATCGAGTATCCACCTTTTGGTAGCACGTTCCCTTTAGAAACAGAGTGAAGCGAGATCAATCCCTAGCGATTCTTATATAGTACTTTATATTCTAACTAGCGGATTCTTCTGAAACATGAAAAAAAATCTATCCCACAGGAACCTTACATTTTCCGGGACAAAAAGTAGTTTATGTGCTATTCCAAATTATAGTCTATCTCTGTGCCAAATTTCATCTAGATCCGTTCAGCCGTCCTGGCGTGATTGAGTTACAAACATCCATCCATCTAAACTTTCGTATTTATATAGTAGGTAGAAATAAAATGTGCTAATCTCATATTTAACATGACCACCACTCGCTTATACTTTGAAGAAAAACATCGTGAGGTAACCTGTAACTCTAAAATAAACTAACAAGTAGACTAGGATGATAAAAACATGAAGCTTTGCAGAAAACTTTACACATTATATATATATATATATATATATATATAAATATTCACTCTTTATTTAATAGTTATAGTCAACCAGTGAAAAAACATGTTTAAAATAAAAGCTTAAATGAAAGCTTTACTCAAAGCTAGTAATAACGACTAAATAAATTCGTGTTTTGTAATATAATATAAATTTTTATTTTCTACCTTTATTATTTAATGAACTTTTGAATTTCAGCATAAATATTTATAGTTTTAGTATATTTAAATTTGCTGTATAAATATAAAAAGTCATTGACCTACTTTTCATACAGATGTGGGATAGGATTTTAACTTTGACAGTCTGTTTTTATGCTATAACTAATTATAAAAAACTTATCTTTAAAACTTTTTTCAAAAAAAAACTTTAAAAATAAAGGTAATTTTGTAATGCAAATGAAAGAAAGAAATTATTATATAATATTAACGTCATATTTTATTATATGGATTATACTAGCATAGCCCGCGGCTCCGCCCGCGTTCAGATGACCAAAAACCAAATTCTTAAGTTTTACATATTAGTATACTCTTACATTGCAGTTTTTGTATGTTTTCTCAGAAATTACATATTTTCCCACGGTAAAAAGTACCCTATATGTTGACCCGGACAACCAGCTATCATCATCCAAATTTCATCAAAATCTGTCCAGTGGTTTTCTCGTGATGCGGTAACAGACAGACAAAAATTCTAAAAACTATAGATTCGGACTCTGTATCGGTAATAATGTCTATTTCAATTAGATTTTCCAAAAAATATTTAATGTACAGATTCGACTTAGTTACAATTTTAGTATTGACTATATTATTAAAGTTTAACTGTGTTATGATTCTCTGATGTAACGCTTTTTGTCATTTCAATATAATCTTTAAAATTTCTATTCGTAAACGATCGGAGAATGTCAGTTTTTAAGCCCTCTGATAAAATTACATATTATGTGCACGTCGCTTATCGATATTATCGTTAATTTATGTTGTATTTTATCTTACATAAGTCACGTATCTTTCATATCATATGGAGTAATAGATATATGTAAATTTTTGAAATGAAATAATTCACTACACGGACAGGGACCTACATAATTTAACTCCTGTAGGATTGGTTGGATATAGAATATTAATTAGTACTAATATGTTTTTCTAACGTTGAAAAATGCATTTATGCAGACCACCTGCGTGCATAAAGGTGGTTATGTGGGACTCACTGGTTAGAAAAGCTAGTATTACCCAAACGTTGGGACTTTGCAATATCGCTTACCTGCCAGGCAGACGACAACAACCATGGGGTTGATCCTACGGACCAGGAGCAACCTCCATGGTACATCACCCACCGAAGAGGGCCACCGGTCAATATATCTCTAGATTCCTCACAAAGCTCCATTGCCAGACGCTATTTATTACATTTATTTTACTCACTTATAACCCTTCATAACCTTCACTAAATATAATTTATTATAAAAAAAATAATTATTTACGAATAAAATGGTTTAATTCCAATATTTTTATGTATTTGTTGTTTTATCATCTAAGATAAGTAGGTTTAATGGATAGCAAAATCTAATAAAACATAAATATAAACGTTCTGATTGATAAGCTTTCGTTCTTTTCACTCAACAATTAATAAAAAAAATTTTTACTACCTTCGAGTTCAGGTTGTGTTTTTTAGATCGGACGGATAATATAGTAATGGATATCCTTTTAAAAGTTTCGTTTAAACGTAATTTAACTTAACTTAACTTAATGAAATTTGTTAAATTCTTAATAAAAACAGATGTTTTCATTTAATTCCTACTTACAATTCTCTTGCCTTTTATGTAATATGAGTTCTTAGTTTAATGAACTAAGGAGAAGATATACTCCCTACAATGTACGTCTGAGTGTTATGTTTGCTGTGTTCTAGTTAGAAATCGTGCTATGTACAGAATTGTATAACTTAAATTAAACTATTAAAATATATACGTAATCATTTGGTGCTAAAACTACTTGTTCGCAGAATGTAAGTGTTCGTGCAGTAGAAGTGGATTGTATTAGAAAAAATTATATTTGGTCTAAAGAACGTTTATTTTATTATTTAACTATTACAAAATTAATTGTACATATTTTACTCACAGGAGACAGACCACAGATTAAACAAAAAAAAACTTTTTTATAAAATTGAATGTTGCCTTATTTTAACACACCCCCTCAACAATCAATTTTTTTTTTATTATTATATTATACTCTTAACATTTTTTTTCCTCATGTCACCCCCTTAATAATTACAGTTAAGAAACTTAATTAAAAAAACTTAAATAAAATTATTCTTTGACCGACTGGCTTCTTATAAACGAATAACAAAATATATAATACTTATTTTATTTAATTATACACTCCCTAAACTTCTCAAAACATTGCTTGCCTAATGGCTTTGTAAACATGTCTGCGACATTCTCATTTGTATTGACATATGTAACATTAACTTCACCATTACAAACTTTTTCCATTATATAATGATATTTTATATCAACATGTTTTAACCTTTTATTACTGTCACTAGATGATGAAATTTTTATTACACTTAAGTTATCTTCTAAAATATTTATATTACTGTTATATCCAAAATCAATTAATAATTGCTTAAGCCAGCAGCCTTCAGTTATAGCTAAACACAATGCAATATATTCGGATTCACAAGACGACAACGATATACATTGTTGTTTTTTTGTACCTCATGAAATAGGACAATTAAATATATAGTATATAAATCCAGAAGTTGACTTTCTATCGGCTATGTCCCCAGCCCAGTCTGCATCACTATAGCCTTGTAATGTTACATTGTTATTATTATACTTATACACTAATGACAAAGAAATAGTACCTCTTATATATCTCATAACTCTCTTTAAACACTTATATAACGCCATACTTGCACAGTTTAAATATCTACTAAGAAATCCTATTGCTAATGATAAATCAGGTCTTGTACAACATGCATATAATAAACTACCTAATATACTTCTACAATTACTTTCAATTTCTTTGCTTTCTGGTTTATCTCTCTTTAACACTTCAAAATTAAAATTTTGTTCTAGTGGTGTAGACACTGTTTTACATTTATACATATTATACTTAATTAATAATGATTTAAGATATTTTTCTTGGTCTGTTACAAAGTTTTTTGTGTCTTGTTTTATACTTATACCTAAATATTCGTTTGCTATTCCTAAATCTTTCATATTAAACTTATTACATAATGAATTTTTAAATGTTTTTATCTCTATATCATCGTTTCCAAAATAAATTAAATCGTCTACATATAACAATAAGTATATAAACTTGTCATTTTGCTTTCTAAAATATAAACATGGGTCATTTTTGGATCTAATAAAATTTTCTTGTAACATGAAATTATTAAATTTTTCATTCCAATAACGGGGCGATTTCTTTAAACCATACAAAGATTTTTTAAGTTTTACTATTTTATCATTATGAAGTTTCATATATACCTTTTCTTTAATTTCACCATGTAGGAAGGCTCCTACAACATCCATCTGGAATACAGGTAACCTCTTTTGTACTGCTACTGCCATCATAGTTCTGAAAGTTGTTAAAGTTGCTACGGGTGTATATGTATTGTTGTCGCAGTTCTTCTGTTCAAAACCTCTTGCCACTAGCCTGGCCTTGTATAATTTGTTGCCATCTATTTCTTTTATTTTAAAAACCCATTTGCTACTAATTACATCTTCCTCTTTAGGTATATTTTTCACCTCTTCCCAGGTTTCATTTTCTTCCAGTTGTATCATTTCCTTTTCTATGGCCTCCGCCCACTTTGTTTTTTCAGGACTAGCCATTGCGTCTTCATAAGATATTGGCTGTTCGCCTAGACAAAAAAAGTTTGTGTCATAATCTTTCATCCATTTCGGTTGTTGTCTTTTCCTTTTTTGTGTTTGATCCTTAGTGTTATCTTCTACCTCAGGTAAGATATTATTTCCTGTTTCAGGTGAATTTATTTCATCTGTTTCTGGTATTTCATATAGTTCACACTCTGTATTTTCTTCTTCTGTTTCAGATTGGATTGAACATTCTTCATAGAATGAGTTGATATTACCATCCTCCTGTTCGTCTTCTTCGGGGTTATATATTGGTAAGTCTTCTTTTTCTTCATATATTTCTTTATTTTTATTATTATGTGTCTGATACTTACTTTTAATTACTACAATTTCTCTTTTTAATTCTACATCATTTTTCTTTGGTAAGTATACTCTATATCCTTTGCTTGTTTCTCCATAACCAACAAATTTACCAAACTCTGATTTGTAATCCCATTTTAATCTCTTTTGATCAGGTATATGAACTGCCACGTCTACTCCAAAACTGTACAGGTTAGTTATATTATATTTTGATGTTTTATACCATAATTCATAAGGAGTTTTGTCTTTTATCCTACTTTTTCCTGTTCGATTCAATACGTATGTTGCAGTATTTACTGCTTCTGCCCAAAGTTCTTTTCCAAGACGACTTTCTGCTAACATAGACCTAGCAGATTCCACAAGATATGGAATACTTTTCTCATGTCTTATACCTTTAGAATCTAATAACTTTTCTACAATTTTATTAACAAATTCTTTCCCATTGTCACTTCGCATAATTTTAATATTGTGGCCTGTTATATTTTTACTCTCACTTATATAGTTCCTAATATGTTCTGCTGTTTCATTTTTATTTCGTAGAAAATATTTTTTTCTATATTTTGAGTAGTCATCAATTAGTAAAAGGAAATATTTTGCACCTCCCAGTGACTCACACTCCATTGGTCCACATATGTCCATGTGTATTAAATCTCCTGGTTTTTCACCTCTTGTGTTACTTTTATTAAATGGTAGCTTATGTTGTTTGCCTTGTAAACATGATGTGCATATCTCTGAATCACCTTCTTTATACTCAATATTGTTTTGTTTCAGAATGGTCTTCACATGCTCAATATTCTGGTGACCTAACTTTGAATGCCACTCAGCGAGTCCACTATTTGATTGACCAACCATAGCAATATCTGATTCATATTTAAAATTCATTAAAAACATTTTACCTTTTCTGTATGCAACTGCTTTAATTAAATTATTTTTTACAAAAGTGCATGTCTTTTGATCACACCTCATTTTATAACCTTTATCCATTGCTGCCGTAGATGAAAACAGATTTACTTTTATTTCTGGTACAAATAAAACATTGTATAAGGTTGTAGGTATCCACTGTTTTCCATCGTAAGCACTTAAGTGTATTTCACCTTGACCAAGAGCTTTAATGATTGAACCATCACCAACCATGATATCTTTTGGCGCTGATAAAGTTTTAAAGTTTACAAACATATTTTTATTCTTGCACATATGTTCTGAGGCACCACTGTCTAACACCCAAAATGTTTTTTGAAAAATGTTTACACAGGAAAACATTATTGCTGATGTAATGAATGCATTTGTATTACCTTTTACATTGTCACCTTTTTGGTAAGAATTCTTTTTATTTCTAAACCAACAGTCTTTTTCTTTATGATTGAACTTTTTACATATTTTACACTGTTTATAATTTTTACCACTGTTAAAATTGTTCATGTTTTTCGTACAGTCTTTTTTATAATGTCCAACTTGTTGACATTTAAAACATTTTCTTTCACTGTTTCTTGATTGTGTAGATAAAGCCATTTTCTCCTCATAATCATTGTTACGTTGCTCTTCTAGCATCAGTCTGGATATTAATTCAGATAATTTTCTGTCTGCCATAGGAACTGAATCCCAAGCTGAAATGAAATGTCTAAAATTTTCTGGCAAAGAACTAATAATTTTAGTGATGAGCATAGATTCGGGTATATTTCCACCTGCTTGATTTATTCTGTTTGCCAATTCTTCTAACTTTGCTATATATAATGATATTTCCTCGTTTTTAATATATTGGCTTTCAAAAAATTTTTGTTGCAATATGTGTAATGACGTCTCTGATTTTGATTCATATATTGAACACAATTTTTCCCATATTTGTTGAGCAGTCTCACAGTTTGACACTTGTAAAATATTTTTATTGTTCAGTCTTGTTACAATTATAGATTGTGCCTTTGCGTCACGTGTCTGCCATTTTTCATCTTTTCCATCATTTAAATCGGATCCGTTTACAACTCCAAATATTCCTTGTGCTTTTAATATGACACGAATTTGAAACTTCCAAGACATCCAGTTCGATAATCCTTCCAATATCAATGAATTTTGGTTTTCCGAAGTAACCTCCATTTTATCTATTATGCCGTTTACCCGGCCCGTTCTTTTTCCGACCACGCTTTACCGCGATATTAAATCTAAAACAATCCAGTATTCTGGACCCATAACCTGTTCGCAGAATGTAAGTGTTCGTGCAGTAGAAGTGGATTGTATTAGAAAAAATTATATTTGGTCTAAAGAACGTTTATTTTATTATTTAACTATTACAAAATTAATTGTACATATTTTACTCACAGGAGACAGACCACAGATTAAACAAAAAAAAACTTTTTTATAAAATTGAATGTTGCCTTATTTTAACACTACTGAAAAACTGGATTTTTACTGTTTACTTAATTTAATAAATCAAAATTTTCATGCATTTATAATTTGAAACAATAAAATTTAATATTTAAGTAGATGGAAACTAAGGCAGTGGTAACCCAGTGGTAACGCGTTCGCTTAGGAAATAAAAAAAACATCGTGAGGAAACCTGCATGTCTAAGAGAACCAAGCAAGTTTTCAAAAGAAATGTGAATCCACCAACCTGCACTTGGCCAGCGTGGTGGACTATCACGTCTTTATCCTGCCATTCTAGAGAGACCAGCCATACTATTGACTACTGAGAAATTAGGCATCAACAGCTTCAAACACAAAATAAACTATCCGTGAATCAGACATATAATTACAGTAAGTTCGGCCGCTACTAAGAAATTCTGGACAGGAAAACACGATAACAATTTTTGCCCAAACTAAATCGAATGCATGACTTCAGGCTCTGCAGTCATATATACTATTCATAAGGTAGATAATAAAAAAATAAAAGTCGTATCGCATTTCAATAACACAATTTTCAAAATGAGCTTACTCGTGTACCAATTTATTATTGATACATGAACATACCGATTACATTAATGCTGTCCCAAACACTTACCGGTGGAAATTAAAACGCTTTCCATTGGAACATTACAACCGGATATTAATTCTGTTCACACAATCATGTAATGGCTTCATTTCAAAAATGATGTCCGGCTTCATTGTTTAATTAAGGATTCTTTGTTGATTCAATTGGATCGCATTTAACTTGAAGTATATGCTGTTTCGTCAGAATTTTTAAGAGCAGAAGCGCTGCACGCTCATTTAGTTCTTTTATTAACATTCTATTTTAAATATTCAATTCAATAACATGTCCTGTGTTCATACAATTCATTATTTAGATGAGGATATTAATAGGTTTTTCTCCATAAGGTAAGTATTACAATTAAATTCGAGTTGAAAACGCAGAGAGTTGCCTGTAAATGGCTACGTGATGTTGTTAATACGAGAATAATTTTTTTTTGCTATGAGTATAATGTACTTGAGAATATAGTCAAAAAAATTAACAAATATACCACGTACAATTTTAATCTACTTACATTTTGATCTCAAAAACAATGAGTCAGTAAAAATTCCCATTTGTTACCGTGCGATATAAAAAGATACATTATAATTCCTTTAGGGGAAGAATTTTCGAAAATCCTTTTATTCCATTTGACCTTCGTAAGCGGAATTATACATATCGAATAGACGAAAGAATTTTTAAAAATTCAGTAAGTGTTTTATTAAATGGGTACATCAGTATTCGTATAGGTATTTGCCCGCGTTCAAACTTCCGATATAAAAATCAGGTTTACAATAATATATATGAATCTGCCCGATTTGTTGACGTTTATGACTGCTCCGCTCCCTTGGGTGATGCATGATTATATATAGCCTATAGCTTTCCTCAATGAATGGGCTATCTGATGCAAAAATAATTTTTCAAATCGAATAAATTAGTTCCTGAGATTCCGCATTCAAACAAACAAACATACAAACAAACAAACTCTGCCTCTTCTTCTTCGCATTACCACTCTGCACCCATAATGGAATTAAAGTAACTCTCAAAAAAATCTCGAAAAAATTGCACATACCCAAATGGATTACAGGTAGATTATAACTCAATACCTTTAAATTGAATCTCCAGAGTCATCTGAACGATTGCATTTCCGTTTGTAGAACGTCAAATTGCTTGTAAATAGATTTGCGTCGGCTAGCTACATAACGCAGTTACGTTTTAGTCGGACGGTATCGAAGGATGACCAGAAACTGTGGTAAAGAGTTAAACAACTTACTTGATTATGTTTTTTAATTTTGAACTAACACAACGCGTACAATTTACGCGTTTCACTTTAAAAAATCTGGTATGTATAGCCATTGTAAATTAAGTTTTGGGCTATGCTGTTATAGATATTTGAAAAAAAAAATTTTTTTTCAAATCGCGTAGATTCTCTTTGAACAGTTCTCATTGAGAAAATATTGAAAATCAAAGGATCGTTCTTTTTATATTGAAAACGTAAATAAAAAACGAAAAATTGCGTATAATCGCAAAGGCAAGTTCGACAAGTTTTGGAGCAAAAGAGCAGAAAGTAATGCAAAAAGTAATTTTGGTAGAAATCTCAGGTTTGTAGTTATAAATTGTATTATTTTTATTACATATAAGGATATAATTCTTCTAAGCTTGCACACACACACATATTATATATATATATATATATATATATATATATATAATCAAAACTTTTATGACCGTTTTTTTGCACTTTTAAAAGCCAGTGTGTTTTTAAATCGAGGTGGCCTTCTATCTAGTGACATAAGCCTTGGACATAAAAAAAGCTCTAAAGAACACCTAATGACATGAAGGCAAAGGTAAATCTAATGATCGAGAAGGCTGACTCTGATAATTACGAGTAAATACCGACTTGATAATTCCGAGACACTACTCCCTCACTACATGCATAATTTACTAATCGCGTTTTTCTGCATATGCAACCGTACATGCTAGCCACTACACCACCGAGGCACTCTATAATAACATAATTGTATACATATATGTATGTGAAAATGTGAATGTAAAGGTTTCAATTTTCCATAAAAATCAGCACGAACTCCCGGAAAACCAGTAAATACTAATATTTAATAAGCTAAAAGGTTTTGTCACCAACATAACTTCTACGATTCTTCTTCTACTTCAACACCTTATCCTATGCTAGAGCACAACAATTTTTACAAGAAAATATTTAAATTTTACATAGGAAAAGTAACGCGAACATATTAGTATATTTATAAATCATTATATACAAAGCACGGCCTTTGAAACGGCGAGGATCGCAGTATTAACTGCGTTTGCATATTTGAACACACTTCACCTACATTGCAAACGCTACACTCAACACTTATGAACGGGAATATATTTCTTTTGTTAAACTTACTCACGTAAGTGAGTTTTTAACGAGCCTATTTAATGAGCGCTCATGTTACTGTACCGTAATATATATTTTTTCATTATTAAACGATATATACTAGCATTTCTATACACGAAATTGTAAATGTTTTGAACAATAATAGCAAAATATTTCATTGTGACGTGCGCTGTATATTAATAAGTACAGTTAAGTAAAAAAGTTAAAAAAAAAATGTTTAAAGTTAAAAAATATTGTAATGTAATTGGTGCAATTTTCATTTTGTTAATTGTGGGTAGGCTGTCTGTAATGACTATACCTTCAAGACATGTAACACCTCAGTCTCTCCCGTGACCATGGATGCTGTAAAGCATTCGAAACGTCGGGAACCAAAAATCAAAATCAATCCGCGAAATAATACGAAAAGATAGTTTTATTTAAAAAAGTACAGTTAGTTTGTTTGTACGTAAGCTCTGATAAGTTTCTGAAGCGAAAATGATTTTAACTGATCGAAACGTAATAATACTGATATATAGCGTAATAAATCGTGTTTCTTTTCACATATCACGTAAAATAGTCATAGACGGAAACTAGTATAGTATAAATAACAATTATAAGATATTAAATTGAGTATAAATATATATTGACTTCGGAATCACTAGAGTTGATTTATTTGTTTCTCTGTCTTTTCGATTTATAGCTTACTTATTTATATTTATACATATAAAATAATTATACATATAAAAAAATTCTAACAGAGTCGAATCTTTATATTAAATGTTTTTTCCAAATGTTTTTGAAATAGTCATTATTATCAATACAGAGGCCGAAGTTTTTAGAATGTTTGTCTGTCTATCTGGGATCGCATCACGAGAAAACCACTGGACATATTTTGATGAAATTTGGTAAGATGATGATTGAGCTGGGTATCCGGATATAGAATACTTTTTACTGCGAGAAAATATCTCATCTCTGAGAAATCTATACTAACCGTCAAAACTTACCTATGGACGAAGCCGAGAGGGGCGAGGGTTAGTCGCTAGTTAACATATAAATATGATTAGCATGTTTCTGTAATTTTGTTGATAATATATGATAGTACGGTATACTAGTCTGATAATGGGGTCATAAATTTAAATTATTAAATTGGCCACTGTCTCACTAATCCCAGCTGAGGCAATTTGCGTATTAGGTTTTTTTATTTAATATTCTCAATAACTCATCCTGGTATTTGAATATTTGCGGTGTAACCTCCCTTGAAAAGCTCGTAAATCCTTCAGTCCTGCACCTGATCTCTTATCTTACCTTATTTTTCGAATTGTCGTTCCACCGATTTTGAGAGAGTTAAAGGGAAAATTTTTTGTGTTAGCGCACTCACAAAATTTGCACTTTAATATCTTCTGTGCTTTTAACTTCTCTCTCTGAGATTGGATATCGGTCAGACAGACATTACTATAATTTATGGAGCTAAAACGTGACTAACGGCATATATAGACTTATTTCTTAAATCCTTTTTCAGTTTTTCGTTTCATTACGATTTCTATTTTTAATCGTGATTGTTAGTCATTATTATTAATAAAATAGGACAGAAATTCTTTAAGAGTAATTTATAATATTATAGAGTGCAGTGGCAAAACTGAAGATATAATTTATAGTTCGAATTCGATTCTCACTTGAGGCAATTACTTCGCATTCTTTTAAATAGGTATAGCAACATGAGCAAGTTGCTATATAATGTATAAACATGCAAATATACAAATATAAATACAACAG